TAGGTGTGTTTGTATATGTTTGTGTGTGTGCTTGTGTGTGTGTGGTGTGTGTGTGTTTGGATGGGTGTGTGTGCATGTGATGAGCTGAATACAGATAAACTATGAATAAACTCGGCGGGTGAAGTACGGGCCTGGTACATAGTTGATGCTCCATAAAATTCTGTTGAATGAATGTGCACACCTGTCCCACGACTGTGCTTGCCCAAAGCAAGCACAGGCTTTACACAGCAGGCACAGGGAACAGAGCCCTTCACCCACTTGCACCGAGTCCTGCTTCATAAAGAGCACAGAGAACAAGGGACTTTGGGGGTCCCGTCTCCTCAGTCACCAGCACTGCCTTATCTCACACATTGTCCGGTTCCACCTTTTAATCTTTCTTTTGTTCTTTTTTATCTTTCTGAGACAAGGTCTCACTATGCAGTCCTGGCTGGCATGAACTTACTATGTAGACCAGGCTGGTCTTGAACTTACAGCCTTTGTTTCCCTAGTGCTGGGATTAAAGGCATGCACCACCATGCTTGACCTCCTTCATTCATTCTTTCTGGGACAGGTTCTGACATTGCAGAATAGGCTGGCCTTGAATTCATGGCAATCCTCCTGCCTCAGCCTCCAGAGAGCTAGAATTATGGGCGTGAGCACCACAACGGGGTCTTGCTATGTAAACAAGGCTGGCATCAAACTAGAAATCCTCCTGCCTCAGCCTCCTGAGCATGGGGATCAAGAGCATGTACCACCCTGCCAAGATTATTCTTCTTTTTCTCCATTTTTTTGGGGGGCTCATTCTGGCTAATCATTTGAGGGGAAAACCCAGGGACAAAGAGAGGGAGCAGCTGGCTTGCCTCACACTGTGGGCGACCCCTGTGGTGGCAGTAAATGGGGCTGTATCCCTCTGTGACACAGCTAGACATATGCTTTTCAGAAGATAGATTCACAGTCATATAACTACCGCACAATGTCTGCATGTATTTGCGCACACATGTGCTTCTGGAACTGACACATGGCTCTTTCATCTCTGAGGCTCAGTCTACAATCTGACCCCTTGCAGGTCTCAGTCATCACCGGATGAACATACACGACTTATATGCCCTCAATGCACGATGCCAAAAAAAAAATCTGTTTATGTTCACGGAACCCGGAATATAATGCCTGCGTGTAGATGGTGCCTGAAAATGTAAATGAATCAACAAGGTAAGAACTGCAGACTCGGGGCTGGAGAGACGGCTCAACGGTTAAGAGCACTGACTGTTCTTCCAGAGGTCCTGAGTTCAAATCCCAGCAACCACATGGTGGCTCACAACCATCCGTAATGAGATCTGATGCCCTCTTCTGGTGTGTCTGAAGACAGCTACAGTGTACTCATAAATAAAATAAATATTAAAAAAAAAAAAAAGAACTGCAGACTCACTGAGTGGTGGTGGCGCACGCCTTTAATCCCAGCACTTGGGAGGCAGGCAGATTTCTGAGTTCGAGGCCAGCCTGGTCTACCTAGTGAGTTCCAGGACAGCCAGGGCTACACAGAGAAACCCTGTCTCAAAAAAAAAAAAAAAAAGAACTGCAGATTCGGAGGCTGGAGAGGTGGCTCAGTGGTTAAGAGCACTGATGGCTCCTCCAGAGGTCCTGAGTCCTGAGTTCAGTTCCCAGCAACCACATGGTGGCTCCCAACCATCTGTAATGGAATCCGATGCCCTCTCCTGAAGACAGCTACAGTGTATCACATACATAAAATAAATAAGTAAACTTTTTTTGTTTTTGTTTTTGTTTTTTGAGACAGGGCTGTCCTGGAACTCACTCTGTAGACCAGGCTGGCCTGGAACTCAGAAATCCACCTGCCTCTGCCTCCCAAGTGCTGGGATTAAAGGCATGCGCCACCACCGCCTGGCTAAATAAGTAAATCTTAAAAAAAAAAAAAAATTGTAGACTCAAGCCAGGCACGGATGGAATCCTAACACTTTGGAGGGAGGGAGAGGGCAGCCCCAAGTCTGGACTATACTGTGGAAAGGAGGACATTTTGAGTCACCTAGCAAGGTCATGCTCATAAAATAATAATAATAATAATAATAATAAAAATATTGATGATGATGATACTGAGGAAAAGGATGGCTGAAGAGATGCCACAGAAGTCATACGCACTTGCTGTTCCTGTGTAGGACTCAGATCTAATTGCAAACCTGTATGGCAGGCAGTTCACGACGGTTTAGGACTCCAGTTCTACAGGATCTGACCCCTTCTGGCCTCCGTGGACACTGTTCACAGAGTTGATATCATACGTGCAGGCAAAACTCTCATACACACAACATTTAAAAATATACGTATTTTTGAGACAAGGTTTCTCTGTGTAGCCCTGACTGTCCTGGAACTCGCTTTGTAGACAGGGCTGGCCTTGAACTTATAGAGAGATCCGCTGGCCTCTGAGTGCTGGGATTAAAGACGTGCACTATGGAAAAAGTAATTTTTTTTTTTTAAAGAAAAAGAAAAGAACATGTTGCTAGGACACTGGCAAGGCCGAGGAGAGTGGTGCCAGGGTGATTCGTCAGAGGCAGAAGGGGGCTTTCTTTGCTTGGGTAGGCAAACGGGAGATTTTTCTAAGGGGTCATCTAAGTTCAGACCTAGAGGCTAACAAATGCCTTGAACACTAGAGTGAGGAGGGGACCCCAACCCAGAGGCTATTAGACCCCAATGGGAACCCCGAACAATTCCAGTATGAGCAGCAGGAAGGAGGCCTTGGAGAAGGGGGAGACTGTGTGGTACTCAGAGGGAGGCGACAAGGGTCCTACCTGTGAGCAGAGCCGCCAGCAGAAGGAGCTTCATCTTGAGTGAGGAAAGGACTCGAGTGACTTCCCTCTTTATAGTCGGGGCCCCACGCTCCCAAGATAAGGCTGTTTGCTTTGCTCTTAGCCATTCTGGGCTGGCCTTGGGTCTATCGGGGAACAACAAATCCCCAGAGGGATTTGCCTGTAAGAGATGACAGAAAATAAGTCACAGATCTGTGCCTGGCACTTCCTCCCCAAGGGGATGGTTTTCAGATCTTGGAATATTTTACGACTCTCCCCCTCCTCCCACCCCACTCTTTAATGACAAGTCTCAGGCTGTCCTATAATTCGTGGGATATCTGAGAAAAGCTTGGAACTCCTCTTTACTTTATTAACTTTTTTTTTTTTTTTGAGACAAGGTCTCTAGCCCAGGCTGGCCTCAGACTTGTGTAGCTGAGGATGACTGTGAAGTACTTTTTTAGATTTTTTAAAATAAATATATTTTTAAAATTTTATTCATTTACGTACGAGTGCTCTGTCTGCATGTACACCCGCATGCCAGAAGAGGACGTCAGATCCTTTTTACAGACAGTCATGAGCCACCATGTGGTTGCTGGGAATTGAACTCAGGACCTCTGGAAGAACAGCCTGTTGGAGAAATTACTTTAAATCCCGGCCCGAGGTTTGTACGCCACTTAGACCATTTAAACTCTCGGACACACACAACCTTTATATTTACAAAAAGCCCGGTGCAGCACAGGAGCTGGGCAGCCGCCTACCCTCTGTACTATTCAAATCTAATTTCCTAACAATAACCCCGAGTTATTACTTACTATGTTTCATCTGGGCTGTTCTTAACTCCAATTGGCTAGCCCACGTGATGACGTTTTTCTTTTTTCCTGACCCATGATAGCTTCTCCTTCCTCCTTTCCTCACGCTCTTCTCTGACTCCAAGTCTGAGAAACTTAAACCCCACCTATATCTCTTCTGCCCAACTATTGGCTGTCGGCATCTTGATTTACCAATCAGAAATAAGTTGGGGCAGGGTCCAGTGGCTATGCGCAGACTCCAGGTCTTGGGGGCTCGCACTTAGCCTTACGATAGACAGTAAAAGACAAAACCTCAGCACCCCTGCCCCATGCTTCTAACAGCTGATCTAACTCACTAGACCCCTTTATGTGCATGTGTGAGTGCAGATGCCACAGAAGCCAGAAGGGGGCGACAGAGTCCCCGGAACTGGAGTTACAGGTGTTGTGAACCACAGATGTGAGTGCTGGGAACCGAACTTGGGGCTCTGCCACAGAGGTACGATCTTAACCTGAAGCCTAACCCTGAGCTTCTGATACTCCTGCCTCCACCCACCGCTCTTGAGCCTAGCTTCAAGGGGCTGGCCAACTCTTCCTATTGGACACTCAGGAGAGGTGGAGACAGGATGGACAGGACTGCTGCCTTTGTGTCTTGGATTTGCATGGGGGGTGTCATTGAATGGTTCTATCTGCCATGCCCTTTACAGATGAGGAAAGGGGTTCAGAGAGGTGCAATCATCTACCGGAGGTCACATAGAGGGCAAGGCAAAGCTGGCTCAAGCTGAGGTCTGTCGGATTCCAAGGTGCGCATCCTAAATTTCTTCCCACTCTGAAAACATCATCTTTCCGCTTCCCGAAATAGGCAGGTTTGTGAGAAAACTTTGGAGACGTGGAATCCTAAAGGCGCGCGTGTGACTTACAGAATACCAAAGAGTTTTAGTATGGTTACGTCAAATACGTATGTGGCATTTCATTTTTTAAAATTTATTTGCTTGTTTATTATGTGTGTATGTGTATTATGGTATATATATATGGAGGTCAGAAGTCCACTTAAAGGAACGTGTTGTCTCTTTCCACTATGTGAGTTCCAGGGATCAAACTGAGGTAGTCAGTCTGGGCCCAGGGTGTGTTCAGCCACTGAGCCTTCTGACAAGTCCCAATATGTAACACTTTGAGTTACAGTTTGCTTAACATAACATTAGCTTCTATAGTGTATAAGGGGCACCTACTGCATTCACTATGCCTGTAACCACTACCTTTAATGAGTTACAGAACATTTTTAGAATCTGTAACTTTAATTTTTTTCAAAACCTTTTTTTTTTGTTCGTTTTTGGTTTTTCGAGACAGGGTTTCTCTGTGTAGCCCTGGTTGTCCTGGAACTCACTCTGTAGACCAGGTTGGCAAAACCTATTTTTAATGGTGGTTCTTAAACGCTTTAACCTCCCTTGTAGCCCACCGCCCACCAGAGGTAGTGGGAAAGGAAGGATATGGGGGAAGAGGACCTGTTTACAAAGGTTCTTTGGGGCAACTCCCATCTGCGCTGTTAGGAAATCAGCAGTTCAGTTCATAGGCATCAGCAGGGGCATCTTGGTCCGCTCGTAAACACTTCACAGATACACCTGGAGTCCAATTCGGTAGAGTCAGGATAGCAAGCACGAATCAGCAAATCAGCAGCGGTGACACTACCTAGAGACACAGCCAGGTCTCAGCCTTGCCACCAGTCAGCAGGAGGGACCAGCAGTAATGCCAGGGAGAAGTTCTCTCGGTTATGCCTCTCTCAGCAAGGATTTGACACACACACACACACACACACACACACACACAAGCGTTGCACAGCTAGCTCTACAAGCAAGCCTAGGTCAGCCTCTGTCACTGTCCGTTGGGTCATATTTTTACATCCTCCAAACATCACGTGTCCTCCACGGGTCTCGCCTCAAAAGCACGTGTGTCTGTCTCAGCTGACATCACTCTGCCAATCAGCCTGAGTCTGTGAAAGCAGCAAGAAGCTACAACACACCACCAGAAGTTTTTTGGTGCATTTTCTCTCAATGGATTCCCGACAAATGCAGCTCAACTGTGCAATGTAAGGTAGACCAGAACATGCGTGTTGTTATCAAAGAATCCTTCATCACGTGTCCTTTCACGTGCTTGCTTTAGCAGAACATCCTCTCTCCTGTGTCTGCTTCAGCAAAACATTCCTTCACAAGTCTGCCTTAGCCTTTCATATCTGTGTCCACTTTAGCTAAACATTCTTTCACATGTTTGCCCCAGCAAAACACCATCCAACTGACTTTCCAAAGAGCCCTTAAGTTTCCACTTCAGTCATCCCAAGAAGAAATCTTGTTCCCACAGATAATTATTTCTTGCCAGGCAGTGGTGGCACATGCCTTTAGTCCCAGCACTTGGGCGGCAGAGGCAGGTGGATTTCTGAGTTCGAGGCCAGCGTATCTACAGAGTGAGTTCCAGAGCAGCCAGGGCTACACAGAGAAACCCTGTCTTGAAAAACCAACAACAACAAAAGATAATTATTTCTTCCCAACTCCTGGCAACTCCTAATCTACTGTGTGGTGTCCCTGTGGGCTTCTTTCTTCTGGAACGTCTCCATATATGTTGAATATTCTTGTTCATATCTACAGGCTGGAGTGATGGCTCAGGTGTTGAGAGCCCTGGCTATTCTTCCAGAGAACCCAGGTTCAATTCCCAGCACCCACATGGCAGCTCAAAACTGTCTATAACTCTGGTTCCAGAAAATCTAATGTCCTCTTACGGCCTACGAGGGAACCAGGCATGTACACAGTGCACATACTCACAGGCACACAGAACACATAAATAAAAGTAAATATAAAAAATTCTAAAATGCAAAATGCAGAGCAGGGAGTGGTGGCACACGCCTTTAAACCCAGCACTTGGGAGGCAGAGGCAGGCGGATCTCTGAATTAGAGGCCAGCCTGGTCTACAGAACCAGTTTCCAAGACAGCCAGGGCGATACAGAGAAGCCTGTCTTGAAAACAAAACAAAAATAAAAACCGAATACAAAACCTTGAGCACCAGCCAACCTCAGGCTGCAATTAGGAAATTCACTGTGTATACAGGTTGCTCAGGTGCACAAGAAATATTGTATAAAATTATATGTTACGTCCAGATTGCATGTATGAGGATTTATAGCGCATACATGAATATTATTTTTAGACTTGGGTTCCATACCTAAGATACCTTGTGACACACACACACACACACACACACACACACACACATCCCAACACCTGAAAAACACCTGGCCTGGTAGTGCAGAAAAGCACAGTTAATCCATTGCAAATGTCACATGATTTTCTTGGGTCATTGTGAACTAACATCTCTTTATATAACATAGTAACAACAGCCTCTGGAATGATTCTGCCTGAGGCTAACGTGGTGAGCCAGTGAGTTCACAAGGCTTACTTACAGGAACCTGGGTGTCCCCTGCTCCCCCCCCCAACTATACCATCAAAACCTCCTACCTTGGCATGAGTGATGATCTCCAAAGGTTCCATAGAGTCCCAGTCCCCACCGTGTGGTCCCCCAACCCCCAGATTGTTGGAGATCTCATACAGCAGACAGGGTGACACACCTCTGAGGACAGGGAGGAAGGAACACAAAGCTGGAATTGCAGACGAGGGTCCAATGTCCCTTCTATCACCACCCAGGCCTGATCTCATGAAGTTCTCGTGAGTTATGGGTTGTCATGGCTGCCCTGAACTCACAATGCTGTTAGCTCTGTTGTGCCTGGAGGACAGAGTCCCCTGATGATATTACATATTACATGTTTCTGTGTCCCTTACCCCGAATATTTGAAACCAAAATATTTTAGGTGTTGGGGGGGGGTCCCCTGGAACTGGAAAACTAGATGGCTCAAAGGTGCCGCATGGGTGCTGGGAACCAGAGCCAGGTCCTGTGCAGGAATAGCAAGTGGCCCTAACCACTAAGCCATCTCCCTAGTCCGGGGCCTTTTTACCTTATCAAATTTATCTCCTCATTTGATTATTCTTCGTGAGCAGACATTTCCCTCAACAGTTTCCTCTAGTTAATCAGCATGTTACATTAGTAAGGTATGCGGTCCACTGTTAACGGAACATTAACATGTCGCTAACCATAGTACAATGACACGGATAAGCAACTTCATCAGTGTTTCCTTATTATTTAAATCTCATCTGATAATTATTTTGATAAGTATGAGTGTTTCGCCTGCGTGTGTGTCTGTGTATGGTGTGTGTATCCCGGGAGGCCTCAAGAGGGCATCGGTGCCCTGGAACTGGAGTTACAGACAGTTGTGAGCTGCCATGTGGGCGCTGGGAACTGAACCTGGGTCCTTTGGAAGAGCAGTCCATGGTCACGAATGAACCATCTTTCTAAC